CGTAGAAATCTGGACTGCAAATTGGTTTAGTGGCTTTTCAAACATTTTTTATGCTATTGTTATTTCGCAATGTTCAGTCGTTCAAAGTAATCTTGTGACATCTTAGTGGAAGTTTGTTGTCTAACGCTGCACTCAGTAATATTCCAGGCATAATCAAGCCTATACCTGACTATCCAATGATTGACAGTGTGAGCAATGATGACACGCAATTACAAAGTCACCAATCCTGACCGCCTTATCCATTTGGTTAGGATCTGATGACCGGCATAGGTAGCTGGGGACCTATTCCAACCCGGATTGCCCACGGGGGACTATTGTTCATGAAATGGCTCGTCATTAGTGATTGAGTTGGGTTTCTGAATGAGGACCTGATTGAGATTATGGTTTTATTGGAACCCTTGATTAATTTTCCCTTGGGAGATAAGGACAACGTCAAATTCCAAACTAGACATTCTCTCTCTTGAGCATGCTGAGGGAGTTGATGTCACCAGCCTCAAGATTCAGAACCTGCAACATTCATTTTCTTAGCAGAGTTCTTCCACACCTGGATCTTGTAAATTGCTAAGTAATCACTCTTTGTGAAACCCATACCATCTAACGCAACCAAATTACATACATGTATATAGATTCCTGTTTTTGTAGCTCAAGATGTATTATAGTCGGATCATAGGTTTTGGACGGCCATATTTATTGCAATTATTTGCGCTAGAACAAGGGGTGTGGCATCACATAGACATTGTAAATACCTATATGATGGTTTGGTTTGTGAGATAAAATTTGTCTTTTATAAGTGAGTGAGAGGTTTTACAGTTGTTCTTGTGATTATTGAGAAAACTACGAATGTTCCTTAAGCATCCAAATACCCATAACAGGGATTATATTATGTAAGGCGCGCATCATGCTTATTCTTAATTACCGTATTCGACGTAATAAGCGCCCAGGGCGCTCTCAAAATTAGAAATAGGGGGCTCTTATTAGAATATTATTTTGGTGAATAAAAACAGTTGAAAGATAAATTTCATGGTTATGCTGACAGCCTGAAATGTTTATGTACGACAGATATATTTTCCAGAATTTTATTGCCCATAATTGGGGCAGCATATAGCACACGAGTGCGTATTATACGCGAATAAATTAGTCTTGTGTACATTGATCAATCGGAAGGGGTGTTAATTGGGATTGTTCACCAGCCAATATGTCAGCAAATGTCACCGTGGGCGCTTATTAGAGCGGGGCGCTTTTTACGTCGAATACGGTACATGGTTCACACATGTGGAAATGTTGATTAAACTACAGTTATGGAAAAAACTTTCTTGAATCCTTGTGAACATGTTATACAATTTTGAATGATTAAATATTCATGTTTAGAAGCCACCATGTTTCTATCAAATTTGCAAAAACTGTTTTGATAAATCATGCATGTTCTTTTAGCTGCCGTGAGACATGTTTACATCTCAAGTGAAAAAATAATAAACTCTAAAACTATAGTTAAAATCTTTTTGTGCCCCCGGTTTGAAAAATGGAGGAATTGAATGATCAGCATGTTCATCTGGCCACCGACTGTTTTCCATTTCCGGAACAGAACTCACGTTCCCGAAGAACTGTTGAATATTTCTTGTTGAAATTTCCGATTTGTAATTTTTTATATATTTTTTGGTAAATAGTTTTTATGAAGTCAAGTTTGACTTACACTGAAAATAGAGCTAGTGCTTGTTTCTGGAGCAGAAGTCCAAAACCACTGAATATTTCTTGATGAAACTTGCTATACAGATCAGTCCAGTGGTGAACTGGTGCCTTTTGGTGACTGAACAGATACTGAACAACATCATTTTTTCTTCACTGAACTGAAGGTATCCAATGGCAATGAACCAAAAGTGGTATAAACGTGGCCAAACTCTGTTTCTGAATTGCACCTGACCTTGGGGATATGGCATCTCTTGATGACTCTTGTCTACATATTGTCAAAAACAATCTGTCCAGCAAGATGTTTTTTGTTCAAGTAACCTATTGTTAGAAATGTCCTTGTGTTAATAAGACACTAAAACCTACTGGCTACGATGTCAAGTGACATGTTCATGCAAGGAGAATCAAATATTTTTGACACAGACAGTAACCATGGTAATACTACATAAAGAAAATACAGTTTAAAGCATTTATATCAAGCTTAAATTAGTTCTACTTACATCAAGGCCAACATAATATTTTCCTGTGTCTGATAAACACTATGAAAAAAATCAGGTCAAGAGAGCGCCCTAGGTGCTTATTACATCGAATACGGTATCAGAATTTACACAGTTCAAGTCCACTAACAACAGCTCCAATGTTCATATCTTTACTCTGAAAATTACTTGTGTCATGTTTAAGTTCTTCTTGAAATTAAACTTCCTGTACATGGCCCTTATGATACTCAGCTGATAGTAAGCTGTTTGCAATGGGGTGCACGGGTGGCCCAGTCGTCTAAGGCGCCGCAATTCGCTGTGCAGAGTTGCGTCCCTTGGGCACGTCAAAAACCTATGATTGTGGGTTCGAATCCCGGTTCGCCCCGATTATGTTTCTAGGTTTGTCAGCACCATACCCGTGCTGGTGGGTTTCACCGAAGTGGTAAATGTCTGAGACCTGCATCACTACGGGCTTTCCTCCCACATTAAGCTGACACGCTGTGATATGACTGGAATACTGTTATTAAACTTCCTGTACATGGCCCTTACGATACTCAGCTGATAGTAAGCTGTTCGCAGCGACCTGAGGTGGTGTTTGTTCGCCACTGATTGTCAAGATTTATTAAGGAATTCTTGCAGATCGATATCAGGGCCTGGGGCCTCGTTCCATTTTACAATCTTAGCACTCAGAGCTCCAATACTTAACATAGACCACTAGCAGGAATGGATGATCCATGTCATTGTGTCTCAATTGAGTAGATTGATGCTCATGATGTCTGTCACTGGATTGTCTGGTCCAGACTTGATTTTATTTTTAGAGACCGCCATCATGTAGCTGGAATATTGCTAAGTGCAGCGTTAAACAACAAAGAACAACAAAATAGACTTACCACCATCATAGTGCAATGATATCTTTGTTAAACAAGGTCTCTGATTGCAGCATACATTGGTAAGATGTCCCAAAAAGAATGAAGGTGCTCCAATTCAGGTTATAATTGTGTTGACTGATGTTTTAGATAACAAGATCAACCAAGAGGAAACAGAATCAATATTTAGTTTCTATTATTGCATTGAATACATTGATCATTTAGAATTTAAGAAAAAAAACAGGTCTTAACAAAAATGGACAAAAAACACCTATTTTCTTATGAAATTCCTCCAACAGGCACATAGATTTAAAACATACATAAGGCCCATGAAAATCTGTGTAGATCTTCAGCAACCAATGCATGCTGAAAGAGGCGACTATGCTTGTCGTAAGAGGCGACTAACGGGATCGGGTGGTCAGACTCACTGACTTGGTTGATACATGTCATTCTATCCCAATTGTGTAGATCGATGCTCATGATGTCAATCACTGGACTGTCTGGTCCAGATTGTCTCTGTCCCTGAATCATATTATTTCCCCTTCCCTCCAGCCCTTCCTGTAATAGTACAGCCCCAAATGAAGCAAGTCTAGATTTTCACAGATACAGGGTGGGCTCCATGGAGAGAGGACAGAGCTTGGTAGGAGGGCAATTATATACCCGGTATGTCTGTAGCTGAAACTGTCATCTGATTGTAGCAGAATGTGATTTCTAATTGATGAGGACCCCAGCAGCCTCCAAAGCAGATGTTATTAGTAACTGAATCTCCCCTCTCACTGGGGCTCCATTTCAATTTAATTGTAGCTGCTGCTTGTTTGTATCGAAATAATATATACCGTATTCGACATAATAAGAGCCCAGGGCGCTCTCAAAATTAGAAAAAGGGGGCTCTTATTAGAATATTATTTTGGTGGAAAAAAGAGAGATGAAAGATAAATTTTGTGGTTTATGCTGACAGCCTGAAATGTTTATATACGACAGATATATTTTTCCAGAATTTTATTGCCCATAATTAAGGGTGCATATAACACACGAGTGCGTATTATACGCGAATAAATAAGTCTTTTGTACATTGATCAATTGAAAAGGGTGCTAATTGGGATTGTTCACTTGCCAAAATATTAGCAAATATCGCCGTGGACGCTTATTAGAGCGGGGCGCTTATTACATTGAGTACGGTATTCAGAGACTAAGCAATATTCTAAGCTATATTGTTATGATCCTAATATCTACAGCCCTGTGGAATAGGACTCAGCCACAATTGCTGGCGTTCAGGGGCCCAGTCCACAAAGCCCTCTTAGCGCTATGATTGTCGTAAGTCAGTGATAAAGAATGGTAGTTACGATCGACTTAGCGCTAAGATCGCTTTGTGGAATGGGGCCCAGTTTGGTATGAGTAGTGGTTTGATTGAAACGAGAAGCCCAGTTCTCTTGTGAGTATAGGTAACATTAGTCACTTCAAGATGCTACTCTGTGTTGATCAAACTTAATTATTGTAGACCCGAGAAGCTTAGTGGATGCAGACTAATCCACTTCCGGCCCACATAAAATACAGACTCAAATAGTTTCTACCTGTTTCTGGCCCCCAAAATTAAGTCAGTAACTCGGCTTAAACAATTGCGAATTCTGAAAAACATCAAAAAGACCACAAGACACAGTTAATGGGAAAATATGTTAAACCTTCGTAATGTCATATGTCCATTTTTTTAACTTCATTGCAGAAGAGTTCACTACATACATCTTTCATCTTACTCAGAATGTTCCTGCGGCCTTGTTATATTATAGAAATTCTGACAGGATGGTAACCGTGGCTGCCAGATAGCCTACAGCACTCGCTGCTTTGTCTCATCAAAGGCTGTTTGCAATTTGCTGGCTGCCATAATAATTTTTTTTGCTGACAAGGTGTAAAACCCAATTATGCTGTTGTTTACAATAACAGTTTTGACTGACAACTATGATGACGGTGTTTGTTTCAGGAGAAGGGCACCAAGTGGTCGTTATATTCAACGCTCATCGAGAGAAGGTTTTAGAAGAAAGTCTGAAGGTTACAGACTCCAAGGACAAGAGCAAATCTATAACACTGGCCTTCCACGCTCGTGTCCTCGGTGAGATGAAGAACACACTATTATGTGCCCTTTTTGAACAATTGACGTTTTAGATTAGTTTTCTTTGTCGAATGTCTTTTATTTCAATGACAGGAGGATCATTATTTTTACTCAGAGGCAGTTTTTTTTCAACTCTATCATTCTACCATTATTTTTTGTCAGCTTTTCGGTACATCTGTACTGGAAGTTAAGAAGCAGTTCAAAACTTAATTCCTTAAATTTTCCAATCTCATTAAAATGAGATTTTAGTAGCTTGTTATGGGATTAACATTTGATTAGAAAGATACTTTTTTTCTATAGCCCATGGGGGGTACTGTCAAACATTCTCGGCCATCCATTAGACATTACAGAATTTTCTTTTGTTCTGTAGGGTCACGGGTGGCCCAGTCGTCTAAGGCGCCGCGATTCGCTGTGTAAACGTGCGTCCCTTGGGCACGCCAGAAACCTATGACTGTGGGTTCGAATCCCGCTTCGCCAATTATGTTTCTAGGTTTGTCAGCACCATACCCGTGCTCGTGGGTTTCACCGAAGTGTTTAACGTCTGAGACCTGCATCACTTCGGGCTTTCCTCCCACATTAAGCTGACACGCCGCGATATAACTGGAATACTGTTAAAAGCAGCGTTAAACCCAACTCACTCACTCACTCTTTTGATCTGTTTTCACAAGTGAAAGCTGCTTTCTGATTGGCTAATGTTGACTTACTGTTAGTCATTTCATTAGTCGGTCAAAGTTTGCGAAAGGTCAGAGGTAGCCGTAGCGAGCACTAAGATATGATTTTAAAGAGTTTTCTGACATTCCCCTTGATGCTTAAATTGTGAAAATGTAGACATCATTATAAAGAATATCTCAGAAATAAAAACACCCAAACACCTATTGCATACAGTTTATCCACACACGCTACAACAGAATTTATAGAGCAGTATCAACACACCATGGAAGGGTTTCACACAGGCATGATATTTTCTTTTTAAAATATTTGAATTCAACTCTTTTTACCTATGATTATGACAAGAGTGACACAAGTAATTTTCAGGGTAAAGATACGAACATTGGAGCTGTTGTTAGTGGACTTGAACTGTGTAAATTCTGATACCGTATTCGACGTAATAAGCGCCTAGGGCTCTCTCAAAATTAGAAATAGGGGGCTCTTATTAGAATATTATTTTCGTGGAAGAAACAGAGTTGAAAGATAAATTTCGTGGTTTATGCTGACAGCCTGAAATGTTTATATATGACAGATATGTCTTTCCAGAATTTAATTGCCCACAATTGAGGGTGCATATAACACACGACTGTGTATTATCCACGAATAAATAAGTCTTTTGTACATTGATCAATCGGAAGGGGTGCTTTGGGGGATTGTTCACTAGCCAATATATTAGCAAATATTGCGCTTATTAGAGGGGGGTGCTTATTACGTCGAATACGGTAAGTTGATTTTGTCAGATGGAAAACTGACAAACCTGTAACCACCCTTCCCCAAAACTCGCAAACATGTCAGCATCCCACCTTCAACATACAAACTTGTCAGCATCCCACGTCAGCTGCTACTATTTTTCGAACACAGCAACGATGAGAAAACGGGATGTAGCTATGTGTTAGTGACGGCTAGATGTCGGCTAGCAAAGGCAGATCAGTACCGAGGTAGGACTTCACAGCTGACATGGAGGAAGACATTGATTCCAGCCATCTTTGTTGTAGGGAAGGGCCAGGGAACACCTGCTCTACGTAACGGCATCCATTGTCTCAGCGTGGACTGGGACGAAGACTCCGACGTCAGCGACTGGCAGGGCTTCAACTAGACTCTTCCCGACAACATCATTGTTGACGCACCCATGGCTTGTACACACAACTTTCCTCAATTACACTTGAATACAGGGGACACTATTTGTGTCTAGTGGTTAAAGTGTTTTGCTCATCATACTGAAAACCCAGGTTCGATTCCCCACATGGGTACAATGTGTGAAGCCATTTCTGGCGTCCCCTGCTGTAATATTGCTTGAATATAGCTAAAAGCGGCGTAAAACCACTCACTCACTAAAATATGTGTCACTACTACCCTATATGGCGGCCATATGTGTTCACAGGTGAGAGAGGAACATAGTGTATACAAGCCATGAAGTATTGACGATGTTTTAGGATATGTCCGTATGGACTTTGTTGCCGTCAAGATGGGACCGTCGTGAACAAGACATACCCTGAACTCAAGACATGACCACTTTGGAGTTGGGTACTCCACACCTGTCAAAAATGACATCCTAATGTCAAATATTACTGTTTGAGGTTCTTTTAAATCCTTCAACGGCAACTGTAAACTCCGAAATAATGTCCTATTATTTGTATTGTGAAATTGGAGCTGCAGTGTTCACGTAACTGAAATGTACATACAAAATGGGAATGTTGTCAATCATTGACTGTCTTGGTCATGTTGGTTGAAGTTCTTTGAATGCAAAATGTTATTGATCAGTTACCATGGTAACACAATGACCTTGAAAAGAAGAAACCAAGGTGAAGGTCAAAGAAACTTTCATTTCTCTGTTTCCAAGTAAATTGATCTTTTCATAACACAAATATCAATATGGGATTTAATAACAGGAAATAATTACTTTGTATGTTGTTTAGACGGTGATTAAATTGGACCATTGAAAAGAGGGCTTTTATATATATTTACAGTAAAATTTTGACATGATTTCTTTGATCCGCAAGCAAAGCATAAGGTCAAAGGTTGTCATCAGCATGAGGTTTGATATGCCGCTGTTCTGGGAATTAATCTGGAAAGTTCAATATCATGTCTGAGAAAGTGGGGCCTTGACTTCCATGAAATTTCAAAACCAACTTACCTGACAGGTCTGAAGGTATGCAAATGTGGTAGAAGAGGATAATAATTACAAGCGAAGTCACATAGATAGATTGTGTTAGAAATGGATAGATTGTGTTAGAAATGTGTTAGAAATGGATGGATGGTATTAGAAATATGTTATGGTCATGAGCTGCTCAGTATTAGGTTTTTTCCTGTTTAAAATTACTTTTAGCAATATTTCTATACAGAAAAACTATGCCTGAATGAGCGTCTTTATAATGCTATGTCATAAGATTTCACACATGTGCTCTAGAATTAAAAGTCGAAGAATGTGAAACTTGGTGTCAGTCTTGTTAATCTCACAGCAAAGACCAGCTTTTCTTCAGCAGAGTGTCAGTCTCCGTGCATCCCATGGGGTGTTCATCTTCGTGCTCTGTAGAGATGGTCAGGTAGCATCTGGATGCTAGTCTGAAATGTACTGTAGATTGAGAGGATGGGTACTTTGCTAGTACTGGCATTTAACAGAATACTTTCATGTTTGAAGGGATTTTATGTTAAGAATTTCTCAAGAATTACTTCACTTTATCAAGAAAGAAGAACAATCAGTTCTAAGGCAAACCCTTTTAAGAACTGGTTTAATTTGAAAATATTTGGGGTTGGGGTTTATAGAATTATGTCTTTAATGTATGTGTGTGGATTTTCTAGTAAACTCTCTGGTCATTTGAAGTACCATAGTTTGCTGGGCAGACGTGCTTCTCTTAGACATGCCAAAAACTTATGATCGTTGGTTTGAATCTGAGGTTTGCCCTCATTATGTTTCCTGTTCAGCACCATACCCTTACTCATGGTTTTTACCACAGAGTTAAGCATCTATGACTTTAGGGGCACGGGTGGCCCAGTTGCCTAAGGCGCCGCAATTCGCTGTGCAGAGTTGCGTTCCTTGGGCACGCCGGAAACCTATGATTGTGGGTTCGAATCCCAGTTCGCCCCGATTATGTTTCTAGGTTTGTCAGCACCATACCTTGCTCGTAGGTTTCACCAAAGTGGTTAATGTCTGAGACCTGCATCACTTCGGGCTTTCGATAAAACTGGAATACTGTTAAAAGCTGCGTTAAACCCAACTCACTCACTCACTTTCCACCCACACCAAGCTCACATGCCATGATATAACGGAAATACTGCAATGTTGAACAAACTCACTCCAAAAATGTCTGCAAAATTCCCAGATGGGAATTAAAAATATTAATAATATGTTAGCTGGTCAGCTGAACAATCTTTTTTGTAGATGTCAGCTAGCTGCTGAAGATAAACTGGTGGCAAACAATAGACTGACTTTAAGACAATTGTTAGCAGCTTGAAGATGATCCTGTCTTACTGTCCTGAAGGCTGTTGGGACTCCTAAGCGTAGACCTGTGTGATGTGGTACTGGGCAGTTTGAGTCACAAGCCTGTCTTACTGTCCTGAAGGCTGTTGGGACTCCTAAGCGTAGACCTGTGTGATGTGGTACTGGGCAGTTTGAGTCACAAGCCTGTCTTACTGTCCTGAAGGCTGTTGGGACTCCTAAGCGTAGACCTGTGTGATGTGGTACTGGGCAGTTTGAGTCACAAGCCTGTCTTACTGTCCTGAAGGCTGTTGGGACTCCTAAGCGTAGACCTGTGTGATGTGGTAATGGGCAGTTTGAGTCACAAGCCTGTCTTACTGTCCTGAAGGCTGTTGGGACTCCTAAGCGTAGACCTGTGTGGTGTGGTACTGGGCAGTTTGAGTCACAAGCCTGTCTTACTGTCCTGAAGGCTGTTGGGACTCCTAAGCGTAGACCTGTGTGATGTGGTACTGGGCAGTTTGAGTCACAAGCCTGGCTGCAGCATCTGGGAGGCTCTGCAACATGTCTAGCTGTCTGAACAGTGTGGAGATAGCCTAGTGGTTAGAGGTTGTCTATCCTCCACATGGGTACTATGTGTGAAGCCCATTTCTGCTGTCCCCAGAATGATCGTGCTGAAATATTGCCTATAAAGGGGTGTAAAACCCAACTCACTCATTCAAACCCAACTCACTCACTCACTCTCGCTCACTGATTTAGCAACAGATTTAAGATTACCAAGATCAAAATTGAAATTCGATCTTTTTTGTCTTCTTGAAATTAACAGTTTTAAATGTGTTTAACTGCAGTCATACAGGTTTTCTGTCACAGTGGCTTTGCACATAAGATTTGATAACTATGTTTCAAATCATTACCTTTTTCAATGGCATGAGAAACATAAATCTTTGAATACTTGCTCATCTTCGCCTTGTCAGTGAAGTCACTGAAAAAAAGCCAATTTAGCTTCTGGCTTGCTGAAATAATGGACTTGTTTGTGCATATAAGTGACATGTTTCTTTGTTTGTTGTTTAACGATGCACTCAACACTATTCCAACTATTTATCTATAAATCATCAAGTCTGGACCAGACAATCCAGTGATTGACATCATGAGCATCCATCTACACAATTGGGATACGATGACATGCATCCGCCAAGTCAGCCAGGTGGCCACTCGATCCCGTTAGTCATTTTTGACGAAGTATGAGAGTTATGACCGCCTGAAGGCTAAAATTGCTTCATGGGACAAAGTCACCTCTTGCTACAGGTATTGGTCAATTCTAACCCAGGATCTTTATGGGTACAGTGACATGTCATCAACTATTGGGTCACCAGCGAATGCATCGGATTTCTTTTAGCATGAGAACATCTCCAAAATGTCCACCAGTTGGTAACTCATCCACACATTCGTGACCAACTCGTGTTATTCCGGGACAGGCCGAATAGCGACTCGTGCCTCTCTCATGGCCATTTTGGCGACCGGGCTCCGTCTAAGCGCAAACGGGCATACCCAACACAATGTCAACTCGTTACGTAATGGTTCACATATATTTCCCCATATATTATATATATTTCAGATGCAATGTAAAGCACATCGAAACATGCCGAATTATACAGTGTGATAGAACACATTTAACTGTGTCTTGGGTTTATTTTTAGATGCAAGACATATGTTATATCAAAAACTATTTCTAAGGGATTCTTTGACGAAGAACTAGGCGCATTTTGATTGGTTTGTTGTATTTTCACACATGACATTCATCGATAGGGGGACGAGTCTTCTTGCAGGTTACGGAAAGGGGCGAGTGGTGACGAATGTCATCTACAGTTATCCATGCAGGCTGTCATATTTCCATTCTATTATGATAAATACCCCGTATCTGTTCGCCCAAATAGCCTTGTTACAGAAGTGATGTTGACATTACCATCACTCTTATCACCAACTATTCACAGAAGTTCACCAAACAATCATACTGCCTCTTCTGAACAAGAGGTCTGCATAGATCAACATTATAAACCCAGCAAGCCTGAAATATATATATTTTTTAAAGAATTAAAATTAGGTTTTATACCGCCAGCAAGAAATAAATAATATGTTGAAAAACAACCTCATAATTTACTGTCGCTATCACCCGTGAAGATCCAGGATAGAATAGGATAGGTCTTCAACAACCATGCTTTCCGTAAAAGGCGACTATGCTTGTCGTAAGAGGCGACTAATGGGATCGGGTGGTCAGGCTCGCTGACTTGGTTGATGCATGTCATCGCATCCCAATTGGGTGAATCGATGCTCATGATGTCAACCACTGGATTGTCTGGTCCATACTCGATTATTTACAGACCGACGTCATATAGCTGGAATATTGCTGAGTGCGGCGTAAAACAACAACCAACAAACTGTCGCTATCAATATTAAGAAAATTATTTAAAATACACAGGAACTCGTTATTGGTCAGTCAATATATACCCCAAATATGTTCTCGACTTATATATATATATATATGGGGGGATATATTTTTACTCACCAATTAACGAGTTCCTATGATCAAATACTGTAATGAAAACCTGTTGAAAATGTATCTTAGACAATTTCAAACACAACGAATGATCACGACAGGAAGAAATCAATAACATTATTGGAAATTGGAATTAAAAAACATTGTTTTTCGACCTACCGACCTGAATTCTAGGGCTAACACCCGTGAGCCTAAAAAACGTCAGGCCTTAGCAGGAAAAGATATTTTCTTGAGTACAACGACTGGAAGTATTTATTCTGTACGAAACTCAAGTTGAATTTGAGACAGCGTGTGGAAGTCCAGTCGTGTAACCTGATATCACCACTGATAGTCCGCTCTACTGGTAATAGAATCACGAAATATGGCGATGATTAATTCACGAAGATGAAGAAGAAACTTATAAAGTGAAAAGAAGCCATTCCACCGATTAGGAAATTAATATTACCTACTGTAATGGCAGAAACTGTGAGCTTTTCAAGAAATGTCCATTTTCTTAGCGATTAGATCACGTGGTTACAATCCGGGTCACAATCGACTGTGAGCAGTTTTTTTTCAGCAGCGACCTTGGTCAATAGCGCTCAATATGCTCGCTCGCAGTCACCTGACCGTCGAGCCTCAATCGGATTGTAACCACGTGATCCATTCAGCATCACGACAGTCATCACTTGTTTGTAAACATATAAACGGCCAGTCAGCTGCGAGTTCAACTCCACGCATGGTTGTAACTGCCTATCACTGTGGGCTTTGGGAATGCTGGAAACCTATGCTCGTGAGTTCGAATCCGGTCGCCCCGATTATGGTTCTAGGTTTGTCAGCACCATACCCGTGCTCGTGGGTTTCACCGAAGTGGTAAACGTCAGAGACCTGCAAGACCCGTGAAGATCCGGGGTTGAATAGGTCTTCACCAACCCATGCTTGCCGTAAAAGGCGACCACGCTTGACGTAAGAGGCGGCTAACGGAATCGGGTGGTCAGGCTCGCTGACTTGGTTGATGCATGTCATCGCATCCCAAATGCGTGGATCGATGCTCATGATGTCAAAACTGGATTGTCTGGTCCATACTCGACTATTTACATACCGCCGTCATATAGCTGGAATATTGCTGAGTGCGGCGTTAAACAACAAACACCACCACCACCACCATCATCATCATCATCATCATCATCATCATCATCACTTCGGGCTTGCCTCCCACAAATATAACTGGAATATTGTTCAAAGCAGCTTTAAACCAAACTCACTCGCTATATTACGGCATGTGTTCTCTTACTTTATTCCTTCAGTATATTCAAACGAGACACATGTGACAGGGTCTTGGTTATCGAATAAAAGGGGGTGGTCGGGTAGCCTAGTGGTTTAAGCGTTCGCTCGTCACGCCGAAGACCCGAGTTCGATTCCCGACATGGGTACAATGTGTGAAGCCCATTTCTGGTGTCCCGCGCTGTGATATTGCTGGAATATTGCT